TAGAGATAATAAAATAGGCAAAGCGATAAAATAAATTTTAAATTTTATATTTAACAGCGATAAAACTGCGAAATGATTTACTTTTATAGTTGGACAAAATTTACTCTACCCTCATTTCGATTTTTGTTTTATTTAAAGCAATTTGGTGGGTAGGTTTTATGTGCAAAGCTGTTTGTTTTGAACGAATACAGGTTGAGTTACTTTGATATTTAGCCTTTAGCATGCACGGGTGCATTTGGTGGTTACGTTTTAAAGGGTTTCTTAAGTAAAAAGCCTTAAAACTGTAATATACCTTGAAATTGAACCACCTACATATGCGTATTGACATGGAAGCAATACATTTGAACATGTGAAGGATTTGCAGACATTAAATGGTGCAAAAAATGCTCAGGAAATTTAATTGAGATTGTTAATGTACTACAGTATCATTACTGTTAGATTTACTATTAAAAACTTTTTAATATATTCTAGTTTTAAAATATTCTAGTATGTACCATTTTTTCATGTAGTTTTATGAACACACAGAGAAAAACTTTTGTTTGAGAGAAATAAAAAATATTTAATACAAATAAATTTCTTCTTTCTATATGGCGAAGTAAATGAATTATTTAAGTTAAATTGCCAATTTTTTTAGATAGTTAACACAGTAATTATTTATATACGCCAAACCCACTTTTGATTTAACTTATGATAATATTGAAAAAAGCAATGGAAAATGTTGATAGAAATAACTCCAATTTCAGCTTAAGTCAAGGTAGCGTGTCCCTTCAAGTAAATTATACTTTAAACAAACAAATATATTGTTGATTTTCCAATTTTACTGTTTCCAAGCAAACATTTATTTCTTTGATGTTCGGTTTACATCATACATGTGCAATATTTTTCAAAGAAATATTCGTTTGGTTCAAATAAATAATACTATATTTTTAAAGCAATATCTATTTATTTGAACCAAAATTTGTGTTATACAATCTACTATATCTATGGTAAAGAAACAGCTTTATTTGTTGGATGAAAGACAATGTAATTTAGATGATATGTTTAATTCTGTTAAGCAAATGAAGGTGCTTGGTTGATTCAAAAAACATATTTTCTTCCTTTAACAGATATATTTTTTTGCACAAAACATCCCTTTTTTAAACCAAATTATGATCTTGTTTATTTTAATAGGTACTATTGTGAAGTAAATACGAAATTTGTTCACACAAATATTTATTAGGTAATAAAATAAAATACATAATATACAATATATAAACAAAATATGTTTCTAGGAATAAAAATGATAATAACATTTACTTACTTGTAGTAGACAATTATTCTAATGTCATAGTATTATATTATGCTCGAGATTATGCTAATATTATTTACAGGGCGACTGGGCCAATACGCTATACGACTGATGGGAGCATTATTTTCTCAAATTATGCTATCTAGTTTAGTTATTACTGCTTTTATGATACAGAAATCAATACCATTTAAGGACGCACAGTATATTTTTTTAAAAACTGAATACTAACATTGATACTCTAAATACTAACTTGAAGAATCCTATGCTGCCACGTCAAGTGAGAGGCCACCACCACACAATTCAGTTATACTTCTACAATCATTACTGAGATTAATATTTAAACAAATGTTTTCAATAGGTACTTAATTATTATGCATTGTAGATAACTAACATACCGTCAGCTGTATAGTGAATATTGCTAGGTTTTCGATTAAGCATATTTCTTGTAGGAATTAGTTTAAAATTATTTGGGGAGATTTTAGAATCGCATATGATTTCATCTCGGATTTCATACGCTTGAATATGAGTATTATACCCAATGGTATAAATAAGGCAGCCAACAAAATAAATCTCATTATTTATGTGAAAAATAAATTTAATTTTAATGAAATCGGGAATATCATTTTCTGTAAATTGCAAACATAACCCTTCTTTGTATTTAATATTGTTAATCTTTACCCAATTTACAATTACAGCTTCATTTGAATTAAAAGTGATGAGATGCGAATTTAGTAATCTCTCTATAACGAAAAATTCCGGCAATTGCGAAATTAACCCTTCACATGGACCAAGACATATATTATCATCAATTCCGCGAACGCTTAAGAATCTTGATGATAATTTGAGTTGCTGCTTTACAGCTAATGTAGCAATTATGTTTTTTCTGGTTGTAACTGCACCAGCAAAGTTTTTTAAGGTTTTGTGGAAACTTTCATACTTCATCCCCCAAATCAGACGAGGAGGTCCTATTTTTAATATGACTGTAGGATAGTGCACCAATATGTGATGTTTGGGTTTTAGAGAATCGTTAAACAAAGCACAGTAATCTTTGTTATGGTTGTCAATTAAGGTTTTTAGGAGCTCAACAGCATTTCTGGAAATAGTTCTACTAGTAATAATGTGAATTATTCGATGTAAATTTAGATAAAATTCCCACACTTCGTCATTATCTGGGACACAATCTCCTAGTAGTATACCAAAGTATACAACAAAGGCCCACATTTCTGATGCACTTAACGTTAAGTAATTTTTTTGAAGGTGTTCAATTTTTATTATAGGTATGGGATTGCCAATATCTGCTTCCGAAAATTTAAAAAACTTAATCCGACTATTTACTAGTGGAAGAGAGACAAATTTTTTAGATATTAAGTTATTTAATATATGGGCCATATCATATCTTAACACTCCTTCTAGCAAATCATGCATTAAATCCACGGAGATATTCTCAACCACATGGAAGAATCGTAGATCATTAAAAATACATATCTGTTTAATTCCAAAACTTAAATTCCTAGAATCCTCGTCGTAATTATTAATTGTGCGCAGAGTGTTAAAATCTTCAATACTCTGAATTTTAGAAAGTTCTTTGGAAGTTTTACATATTCTACAAAAATAATTCGCATTAAAACTTTCATTGAATCCTAAAATTGAGTTTAAACCTAGATTGTCTCCCAAAACTAAAAGAAGAACAAAATAAATACGATATCGTTTTGAGCTAATATGTACTTCAATTCCATATTCCTCTAAGTATTTGAATTCTTCTAATAATTTAGAAAAAATTTTTCCATTTCCGACTGTCGTTCTATCCTTAGAATAAAACAATTGAGCTAGAATAGTATATTAAAACATAAGTTGCAGAAGGCGGCCTATTCTAGCACGAGTTCAAGTTTCGAACCTGAGCCGCGCAGCGGCGAAGGTTCGAATGAACGAGTGATAGAAGGCCTTCTGCAACGAACGTTTTATACTATTTTCTATGTTGAGCCCTTAATTATTATTTATAAAAAAGTATGTATTTAGTTTAAAATAGAAATATTGCCGCGTCAAAATAAAGTTGGCAGCACTGCGTACATCTTTCAAAATGTTTAAATTAGTCTCTCTAAATTTTAACATTTTTCGTTATTGCGCCTGAAAATAGATACACGAAGGTAAAATTTGCAATGTCTGAGACAACCTTTTCATCTACTCCGCCAGAACTACACTTAATAGCCGAGAAGCGGTCGATAATCTGTTATCCGACAAAATCAAAAGGAGAGTATGAAAAAGATACCTAAAAATTTAAAGATTGGTGTGGCGCCACAAAGTGAACAGTGATAAGTGAAAATGTTTTGTTAGCATTCTTTTAAATAATGAGCCAAGAGCTACAAAAGTTCTACGTTGTGGAAGAATTACTCGATGCTCCGATCTATGTTGAATGTTCGAGAGAATAATTGATATTTCTAAATTTATGAAACTGCAGGCATTATTAAGACGAACATCAGTTGGATATGAGGCAAAGAAGTTTAAAAATTTAGAAATATCCTGAATTAGAAAGATTCATTAATGAAGCACCCAACAACAGAGTATTTGGACAGCGAAGGTAATTTTATTAATTTTCAATCAACAATTACACACTGATACATTTATAGGTATTCTAATAATTGGTTATTCCGGAGAATGCAGGCGGGAGGAACTAAAAAATTTGCTTACGGATGATATAGAACCTACAAGTCCGATTCAATTTTTGTGACGGTACCAAAAACAGAACTAAACGTCCAGGCTATTTGCAATTACAAATGCAATGTGGATAGGCTTAATCAAGGAGTATGCTTGCTTAAGACCTGTACATATAACCCACACGGTTTTTTCATATTTATCGACAAGGACGTTGCACGGTGCAACCAAATTGGTTTGAACAAAATAGGCGAGATGCCCCGAATTATTGCAAGATATCTCAAGTTGCGGAACTGCGTGAATATTCCGGGGCATTGCTTTCGCCGATCATCAGCATCACACTTGGCGAACAATGGTGCAGATATAATGACACTGAAGCAACATGGTGGGTGGAAAAGTTCCTCAACAGCAGAGGGTTACGTTGATCAATCTAAAAAAAAAAGAATTGAAGTCGCAGAGTTACTTTCGGTTTCGACTACTCAATCCAAACAACCTCAAGCTGGACCTCCACGAAACCATGTACTGTTACTAGCGGAAAACAATCCACCCTCGAATCCACCACTGTTAACTCGTTACAAAATGTCCCCGGAATTACTATAATGCAGGTGAACATTTCAACGGTGACTGTTAAAATTTATAACAATTGTTCTTTTAAGAACGAAAGTTAGGTTGAGGTTAGATAATTTCATTTTAGCACATTTTTAAGAAATCGTTTATGCAAACTTCTTTAATGACTTTATTGGTGTAATTTAATAATAAATCGTAATGCGTGTGCATTTTTCCTTTAATATGAGCTTTGTTTAATGAATAAACATTGATATTAGTGTGAAAAAAAGTAACCAACTTTAACTTTACCACAGAACACGAGCATACAAAGTATAAAGCGTACTCTTGTGCTGACGTTTTGTTGGCTGTCACCATATATATAAGAGAAATATATGGCTGTCACACATAACAGGGATACCAATTCCTAAACAAAAAAAGCCTCCAAAAATCGTGTTAGAATGGAAAAGTTACCAAAAATCGTGCTAGAATGAAGTTCATTCTATCATCATAATCCGAATCAGAACAACGACATTATAAATGCGAAACATAGAAATACGTTTTCAAGTATGGAAGAATATTCTGGTGGTATACAAGCCAACGAAACGTATACCGCCCCGATTTTGTGTATACCAGCTTTACTTCCAAGAGGATTGCATGATTCAAAGTCGTCGAAAAACATATAGAGAGGAAAAACCGTTCTATTGCCAAATTTCGTCTTCATACTCTGCCAAAGAGAACCTTGAAAGACATTAGACAAAACCGATGAAGGTTTTGAATCTTCTTCTTGTAAATATTGTTGTAGGATATTATAAACATTTGGTAATTCCAAAAATTTTTGTAAAACTCTCCTTAAAGGAATTTTCTGTATTTCGATTTTTTTCAATGCCAGAACTGGGTGTTGCGTTGTACTTTTGTTGTTTAATACAGGATGTTCTCCAACAGAAAACACTTCTGGCCTTATGAAGCTGTCACATTCTTCAAAATACTTAAAACAACGATATTCAGATTTAAATTCGGCTAACATAGTCTGCACATCTGAAAGCGTGTGCAATACGTTTATAATACTATCACATTCGGAATTCAAACTTTGTAAAATATCTGAAATGTAATTACACACGGATGACATCAACTCATCAAACCTGTTTATTATTAATTGAACTTGATTTCTGGGTATAGACGGTAAACTATACAAATTTGATATGAAAGCAACTATTTCATCCTTTATGTTCAATTTTTTGGGTGTTTGCACTTCGTCTTCGCCATCTATGATGGTACTGATGCCATTATTGAAATTGTCATCATGATAATCATCATGTTGTGATAGCCCTGTATTACTAGTAGATATTGGTTTTGAACATTTGCTGGCCCCTTTGTGTTCAGAGACATAATGTTTTCGTAAAGTCGATAAATTATGAAATGATCTAAAACAATCTGATTGGTTGCATTTGTACTTTACAAGAAAAGGATGTATAATTTTGATGTGTTTAAGCAGCATTTCAATAGAGTTTAACAATTTTCCACAACTGAAGCAACTGAAAGAGGTGTCCATGGTGTCGGAAAGAAATATGCTTAAATCAATAGCTACGCTTATTTTAAAACGGCAACCTAATGATTGTAAACGCAATCTTGAACAAATGGAATCTTCAAGTCAGATTTAGTTTTCAAATTATAGCCCTGCCACTGAATTAGGTACCAAATATGATGACTTTCAAAAGAATACTTGGCATCAAATATATGATGAGATTTAAAACAAAAGTCTAATGCATCAAATACAGAAATGCATTTATATAAATTGTCGTTTATAACAACATAGAAGCCAGTCACATTATTTAAACTGGGGCCAACTAAAATAACATAGGGTTGTACAGTTTGTCCCCTATTGTACATGAAATCTACCTTATCGCGTTTGCCTTGTCTATATCACCAGGCAATTTAACATGCACAAACAATCCATCTCTACACTCTGTAATGGATGGCTTCCATTGCTTCCCCTTCGCCTTTATGCGACCTCTTGGTGGAACTAACGATGGTAGCAGATATAACTGAACTGCCCGCTTTGAATCTACAATAGTCATGTACTTATATTAAGATGTAAATTGAACGCAAGTTTACCAGTAGTTATATCTCCTTCCACTAATTGAAGAATGCTTTCGTCTGCTGCAGATAAATTTTTTCTTCGAATGTCCAGTAGCTTCTCGAAAAAGAAATTGAAAGTATCATCTGTAGCACCTTCCTTTTCAAATAATTTGTTGAAGTCATAAGTAACCTGTATAAAAATATATTATCAATATAAAAACTTTGAACACATTTTAAAAGTTCTTAAAAATAAGGAATCAGTAGGGAGAAATTCAGTAGGCAATGGATTGTTGAATACTTTCAAAGGAAATCTAGGTAAAACATAGATTTTGTTTGGCACATAAAAATGAATGACATACCATACAAATGTGCATTAAACTAAGACAATTTTGCTAGGTCCCTCAAGAGTATTCTTTTTCAGTTTTTATTATAAAGATGTAGCAATGGGACAGTGAACCTGCACTTTTACTATTACAATTTTTGTGATGCCATGGAATTTGGGGATTCAAGTTGTGTTTGTGTAACTGTAACATGAACCGCAGTTATTGATAAAAGTTGTAATGTTACATTTCGACCTATAATTGTACGGACGAAAACAGCGTAAAATAAAATATATGGGATAGGTAACTTACCAGTTCAATCGCCAATTGAGTTTCAAGAATGGGCCACTCCTTGTAGAACTGTTCAATTGTTTTGTTCTTGTTTACTGTAATTTTCCGAATTGAATAGGAATTGCGCCAATGCTGGAGCACTTCTTCTACAGGTTCATTGTTGTTTAGTAACCACAGTCGACTGTCTCTTGCATTTTGGTTGGGTTCTGAAAAGTTCCCCGTTGATACGATTTTTTCTGTGAGGGATTGTATACATATATACCTTCATTTTCATCGGAAATGTTTTCTCCCACACTTACGTCAAATTGGAGCGCTCTTCTGAGTGCTGTCAATTTATTTCTATGCTTGTCGACAAGCTTGCCTTTTGCAACTTCTGGTTTATTGCGACCAGATCTTTTTTTAGGAATAGGGCTGACAAAATAAGTGGCTCTCTTTTCACAAGCCGGAAAAAGAGCAACAATTTTATTTGCAATAATGGATAACGATTCGTTATTCAATTTAAACGATTTATTTAAAAAGTGAGATATAATAATCTCGCAGAGAACGTTCCTCTCTTTTCCATCAAGGGTAAATTTTGAATTATATTTACTTAATATGGCTCTTCCTAAAACGTCTGCGTTCAAGACTTCTTGCAAATTGAATTCAACTGCAGTTTCAATGGAGCAGTAATTTAAAAAGGAAGAATTCAATCCACAATCACTTTGATCGGTGTTTGTTACAGTTGACATAGAATTAATGTCATGTAAAGTATTGGTAGAAGGGCCAGCGTCCAAATCTACGTAAGTGTCTAACAAATTTGTGGCATTTTCGACCAAAAATGACACAGGTGTTGACTCCGTATAAGGTTTCTTTGATGGAGGTGGAGTACACTCGCCTATGAAGTCAATAGTAGCCTAAAAAATATGCGTGAATAACCGAGTGAAGAAAGTAACTAATTCTCTAATAACCTGCTCAATTTGGATGCTTCTGACACCCCTGTTGAATTTAATTCTATCTCCTATGTTTGGAATCAATTGCACAATATGCTCTTCAGTTAAATCAGGAAGTAGGTCCGTCGAATCTATACTTTGTTCTAAAACAATGTGCTTTTATAATCGTATAATCATATTTGCAGGAATTGCTAATTATTCACGATAGGCCATTACGAATCATAAAAAAAGCACTTTTACTTACTTGTAAATTCTGGTAATAGGTGTGAGAGGCCAATTTTACTGAAAAACTCTTCCATTATGCTTGGCTAACAACACAGTATACCTACAATCACGTATTCACAGTACACAATTACAAATTAAAGTAAATTGTAAGGCAGACACCATACGAATACGATAGCGCAATAAGTAAAATGCAATTTGGCGAAAATGCAGAACAAGTGAGCATCAAGTAGGTGGTAAATCTAAATCATCGTTTGTTTGAATCAAAGAAGCTCTCTGTCAATGTAGAAGTCATATTTTTTGAAGCTGGTAGGTTTAATTTTTGCTTATATTAAATATTCGTTTGTTTCATTTGAAATAACTAATACGTAGGACAAAGAAATATATTGCTTTATTTCAACTTTAATTTATTTAGCTCAAGCTGCATTTCTCAAAAGGACGTTACAAATAATTTGTTTGGTCTAAAGAAATATGTGATTCATTTTTTAATATGTGGGTTTATTTCAAATCACCCTTGTTTTCAGGTAACGTTATATTACCTTTGGTTTTATGGAAGAAATATTTTGTTGAAATGAAGTATAATAGCTTGCTTTCAAGAAATTAGAAATTTATAACTCCAAACAAATGATACTGCATTACCAAATATCTCGTTATTTTTAATCCAACAAAAGTTTGCTTTCGTGTAAATAAAATTTGGTACATTCAAATATTAAACCACCAAACAAATTGATATCGTCAATTTAAACAAACAGTTTTCTCTGTGCACGAACCTTCATGGAATTGTCTGAAAATACTTGAAAAATGTTATGAACCAATAAAGTAAATTTAAAAACGATATTACCATTGATGAAAAAATTGTTAATGTCTCCAGGAACCAATATATTGTGATGGAACGAGATAGTAGAAACAGCCGGAGGTGGTGGAGATTTGTACAGGTTACATATTGTGCTCGATTATTCTTATACAGCGGTAAACGTGTTCCGTGCACAGTTAAGCAATATAACACTATATGCATAACATTTTGGTTTTATTGACATATTATATTGGTTTCAAGATAATAAACATGGCCATACATGACCAAAATTCCGAACAAAACACCTTTGGTGCAATTCACATCTTTATCGAGAGCATAATATCTATTGGTTAATTTACAAATCTAAGGGAAGTCGGACAATATATACGAACTTCTCACGTTCGTTATTTCCTTCATCTTACAAAAAAAAATTATTCTGTGCTATAATACTTGCGTTGCAATGCGTTTTACGCCAAAATGAAACAAGATAATTCCAATTTTTTCTGCAATAGCTTCAGCCAAAATTATGCATTATGTGGGTCACTCTGTAATTGGGCGCAAGCCTGTTGAGGGCCCAGAACAAGAGAGGGATAATAAATAAATAAAAAATAGTTCTACCTAATACAGAAAATTTGAAACTTTTTATAAGTTTTTAGTTATTACCTCATATTTAATTAAAATCGGCACCACCAATTTTGAAATGTTTGCTTTTGAAGTGAGCGGAGTGCACATTTTACTCTTAATAGTATATTGCAATTGCAATTTGTTTATCAAATTAGGCTGAGTCGTACCACAACAGCTCCCTTTTAATCCGCACGACAACAACAAAACTATTCTGAAGAGGACGCCAGGCGCCAGGCGAATAATCGCCGTTTAATTTACTAGCAGCCCGCAACAAGAACTCGCGCACCTCGCTAGGAAGCAGGGTCAAGGGCTTATTGGAATCCAGTACATATTCTTTGACATTAATCACGTATGTCAGTGTACCTTCGGGGGAGTCTGGTGCGGAAGAGAGTTTTCTATTCCCGTCTTCCAACAAGTGGAGATTAACCAGTTTAACGATGCAGTTTCCCGGATAAAAGAAAACTTTCGTCCGGACTTACCGACACACCAAATATGAGGGTATTGGGGTTTTCCCGTGCGAGTGCACTGGAAAACTTTTCCGGTGCGCTACGAATAATCAAGTTTGCCATAGCCATAGCCCATGCGTTGCTATGCATACCGCGGCTTGACTTTGACATCGGTATATGCGTCAACCGATTTTTTACCATTGTGTTAAAAATGGATTTTGGTGAAGCCGAAATTCCCAGAGAAGCTGCAGAAACCAGTTCCCAACTATTGCCAGCGAAATCAAAAGAGAGATGCGAAATGGAATATGAAAAACTTCGTAACTGGTGCGTTGAAGAAAACGTGAAAAAAGTACGTTATGGGGTAGGTTTTCAATGATTAAGAATTGTCTTGCGGTAAAAGAAAACGTGAACGCTAGCAAACTGGGGAAAACCATCGCCTTTTTGAAACATCAGACCGTCGGCTACATCCCAAAAAAATCAAAAATTCTATATAACAAGGAAGCAAATATTGAATGAAGCTGCAGATATAAAATGGTTACTTACTAATGTTATTTTAGTGTTCGGAATTTTCGGAGCATGCAGACGAGATGTATTAATTCGCTCAACTATTGATGATGTTGAAGATAATGGGCGTTTAAGCAACAGAATTTGTTGTTGTGGGAATATGAGGTAGACCGAATTAACATTTATTTATGTAACAAAGTAAACTGAACACTTCAACTAAAACTTAAGAACACAATGTATGTCTGTAAGTAATAAATGTCTGTTTGTATGTAGGTCTTCAATATTTGTGTGTGTGTCTGATTTTACAAAGTTTGACAAGTGACAAGTGATCTCGCCACACAGCCGACTAATACTACATTTCTCCCCCACGGAAGAAAACAAAATAAAAGAAAATTAGTCCAGATATCGAGCAGGAAGCTTTCTGTTTCTCACAGGGTTCCTCCTTGGTGCGTCATCATTTGAGTTACTACCTGGTATGTCTTCAGATAGGCTTTCCTGATGATTTTGGCTGTTCTGATCCGATGTTTGGTTCTGTGTTAGCACTTGTGAGGGTATTGAATCTTCTGAGATTTCCTGTAGGGGAAGGTGTTCTAATATCGACCACCTAAGACCATTGCCCGAATTAAAATAAAACTCTCTGGATTTTTGACGTTTTTATTTCATAAACACATAGTATGGTACAGTTCTTACCATCTGAGGATATACGAACAAAAGTGTCCAACTAAAACTATCAAATTTTACATAAAAACAAAAAATATTTTTTGGTCGATATTACCCACCGCCACGGGGAATATCGACCACTAAGGTGGGAAATATCGGCCATTTTTTTATTCGCTTTTCCCATCACATTTGACGCACTTTTTGAAATCTTCTGGTCGGTCAAATTCTGTGCATGCTGAGTGCGACCATACAGCGCATCCACGACATCTCCACCATGTTTCGGATATTCCAAAATCGCCACAAACTGGACAAACATCGTCAGTTTTCTTCTCCAATTCAGGCTCGAGTTTAGAATGTGTAAGTTTTATCTTCTTGGTTTTGGCTGGACCATCCAAATCCACTTTCCTCTTAACCGATGCTGTTTTTTTTTGCATTTTTTTAGCCCGTTCTAATTCTTTTTTTTCTAATTCTCCTTTCAGTGGAGTAGAAGTAAGGATTTTAGACGTCTGCTTCTTTCTATTGCTGCTCCTCAATGCTTTCGGTTTAGGAATTTCATAAATTTCTTCAAGTGACTTGTTGAACCGTATGGACTGGTCTTCATCATCAGTTGCCTCCGGATCGAAAACTGTAGTAAGCTGTGAATCAGAGTCGTCACTTGAGGATGAAGAGTGCCGCGCTGCTCGAGAATATTTCGATGGAATCCGCTTCCGCGTTTTCTTTCTTTGAATGCCACTGGGACCGGGGATAGGTTCTTGAATCAAATCACGATCATCGTTTAAATCTTCAGGAACAGTTTCATTTTCCGGGCTAATGGGTGCCATGGGTTCTTGCATAGGACCATGATCATCGTTTTGAGGAAGCGTTTCATTTTCTGGGGCAGTATTCACAAACTCCTCTTCGCCAAAGATATTCCTGTTGAGGGGAAAGATTCCTGTAACCTCAAATCCTTTTATTCCCTTTTCAGTTGTAGTTATTCGGTTATAAGCTTTGGCGAATAATTCTGCAATCTTTGTCACAACAATCTGAACAAAATGGTTGGATTTCATGTATTGGTCGCATTCTTGACTGTATGCTCCTTTCAACGAACTAAAAAATGTTACATCGAGGGGTTGAAGTCGATGCGATGTGTGAGGTGGCAATTAAATTAAATTAAATTAAATTAAATTCGAGGGTTATTTGTAGCAGGTCCGTTTACGAGTTATGCGCAATAATCAAAAATTGGCCTAGTAACTGTCATTAGGTACATAAGTACTTTTGATTGCTACGGCGAATGGATGAAAAAAACACTTCAATCCCTAAAGTGAGAAAATGAAATAAGTATATGTATCTGTACCTATATAAATGACGTCTATAATAAACAAAACACTTTTCTCCGATTATAAATAGTCCAGAGGTGGTTTGTAATCTTATAAGGTACTTGTCATATCACACATAATATTGAAAATTCAAGTTATTGCGACGCAAACACATCTCAAGATAAATGATTTAAGTAGAAAAATAATTTCGAAATAGAAGTAGCATCCAAAGGTGAGCTTATCAAGAAAAGTTTTTCAACATAAATCGTTGTGAAAAAAGTTTTATGGCTTGGTTAAAAGTAATGCTTTTAAACAAAAGAAATATCTAAAAAAGAGTAAGCGACTAAGCGTATTGCACGTGTAAGTTGGACAATCGTCCATTTTTCAGACACTTCGCTTGCCGTATAAATTCTCACTTCGACTCTCCTCTAAATTATATAATACTCTCGCTACGAATATTTAACCTTTCAGACTTGTTTTGTATACACTTATAGGAGGATACAGTTTACAGCCACACGTAACAGGTGTGTGAACTTGTCTGAAATTGATTAACCAATCGATGACGTAGGACCAAACATTTCTGGCGAGAATTTGAGTACCACGTTTGTAGTACAACATTTGCATTTTAAGTTAAAAGTAACTAAAAGACACTCCTCTCTCTTTCCCCTATTCCTGGACCTGTCCTCCTCCCTATATTAACTCTTTACAATTGTTAGCAACTCAGTGGCAATGTTAAGCTAATAGCGTTTTCGATTGGCAAAACTCGTACTGCACGAGTGTTGCACGAGAAACTGAAGAAATCCATGTGAAAATTGCTCTCAATGGAACATAAATATTCGTAAATGTTTGTTGTCATTTGTCTATAACCTCATTTTAGATTTAGGTAATCGACAAATTCTAAAAAATGACTGAAACGATTTCAGTATTAAACGATGAGGAAGATAAATTTGAAATTCCTTGTAAAGGACCAATTTTTGGCGTTCAGTTTAATGACTTGGATGTGGCATGTGCAACTTTTTGTAAAATAAAAGTTATGGCTATTTCACCATCTTCGCTGTCGCAAGATGACGAGAAAAAACTCTCCAATGCAAGAAACAAATTCAAATTGCCGCACGTTTGTTTTAAAAAAGCAGCTCCACGAGCTCTCGGACCTCGTGCGTCGAAATTTACACCGAGCGCGTAATTGTTGCATCACATTTGCCAATGGAACACAGAAAATTGCCCTAAAATTACCAATAGAACGTAAAAATTGCACTCGTGCAGCACGAGTTTTGCCAATCGAAAACGCTATAAATGTCAACGTTTCGCCCATTTTCGTAAGTGGATTCAATAAAATATGTATATGTTACCGGCAAACTGCGAAAACCGGCATTTTGCGAAATGACCAATGCAGCAGGCAAAGTGAGAAATGGAACTCGACTTCGCACTTCGC